CTAAACCCTAAACCCTGAGCTTGAAGCTGTGGTGTTGGAGTGTGGGCCTCCAGGTCTTCAGACTTCAGGTCAGCTGTCGGCGTCCAGGGCTTGGGGGCCCAAAGATCCCCCAACACATCTTGGGTTTAGGGTTTAGGGTNNTTTGGGGTTTAGGGTTTTAGGGTCCAGAACAAGCCATTTGGAATTTGATAGGTCCCGGAGGGTTTATCCCAAGCCTCCGAACATGACACCCAGAAGCTCTCAATCCTCAATCCACCTGGCCCGCACCACCCGTAGTTGCATAGCTTCTTGGAGCCTGGACCTCAATCGCCTATCGGCAACCTGTCAAACTCAGAGGAAGCTCCATGCAAATCAGGAAGAGCCCCCCCGGAAGTCCGTCGCAACCTAGTGTCAAGCCTTGTCATGTGCTGGAGAGCCACAACGATCCCCTAGCATCTTAAGTTGAAGCCACTTTGTAGCCTTTCTTTGCACTCTCCAATATCATTCCTTGTTTGCTTGGCTACGCTGTATGGCCAGGATCCTCCGAAAGCAAGTACAACGCCCTAAGCCCTAAACCCTAAAAGCGGCAGGGTCGCCCTGAACCCTGAAATTTCTGTTCCTCTGCGAGGATTCATTGGGTGAAGCCGAGCTGTGAGGCGATCTTGAGACAAGTCAGACTTTGTATCTGAGTACCTTGAAGGTTGTCGGGTCTAGGAGTTTATTGGGTTTAGGATTTAGGGTTTAGGGTTTAGGGTTCAGGGTTCACGCTCTAGGGCTTACGGCTTAGGGCTTAGATTTCCTATTTGAGTACTTGAAGGACTCTCGTATTGGCACAGTGGCTTTAGGTTTTACAACTCTTTGGACCAGTCGTATTCAAGAGAGGCACAAGCGGCACAAGGCTGGACGAAGTTTATATTTGCTGCTCGTTTGGTTGTTGGCAACTCATCGAAACTAAGGGTTGTGTTCGTAGGACTATCACAACTCACCATCACATGTTGCTGTTGTTCCTCGAGTACTTAAATCAAGTTTCATGCCTTCGGTTTCTTGGATCTGCTGTGCCCTAGTGCTTTCTTGTCAAACTATCCATTCAAACTGCCGTGAATTTCAGGTGTTTTCGGGCGACCTAAACCCTGAAGCCTGAACCCTCATCCTGCTGCTTCAACCATCACGGGATCTTTGCACACCTTCGCTGGCTCGAAGTTTGCGGGCTTCGATGCAAGCAGCCACTTTCGGTCGCACCTGCTCATTCGTGGGTCTTAAGTCATCGCAGTTGTAGGTGTAGGGGTTCACAGGCCATGAATGCAAACATGAAGTTACACCGACCGACCAGGTCAGTTTACCGAGGCCATTGATATCAGGTAGACTGAGACATCTTTTCAAGATTATTCATGTAGGCCAGCGCCATGCCGCCACAAAGACTGGAGACGCAACTGGGCAATCCCCACGGTCGTCCTGCGGTTCCCCTCGGTGTTGAAGACCCGGTGCCGACTGAACACCCGAAGGCAGTAGAGAAAGACGGAGAAAGAGACGAGTTCGCCAATCTGTGGGTTAACTTCGCAAGTAAGATGCAGGCTTCGCGTCCAGGAATTCTGCATGGTGTGCAGGCCTCACAAGTGCTGCATCACCTTCCGTGGGCGTGGCTACGCCGTGATCTGAATTCTTTATATGCTGTTAGCCAGGAGACATCGAAGTTCGACCAGTTTTGGTCCCACAGCTGGAAGGGGGCGCTGTGGGCGAAGTACGTCAATGTACTCTACCTTCAGACAGGCCTTGCAGCAAACGTTGCCGGCACGCTAAGTGCAAGTCTCGCCCTGGGCTTAGTCTCAGCAGGGTGGCTGGGAGCAAGAAGAGGATTCTGCCTCTAGGTTTCCTAGTAGTACCCTTTTGCCCTTTTTTTTACAGGGGGTCCCTTTGTGAAAAGCGAAGACTAGGAACAAGGGCAGCCCCTGATTCTTAAGGGGCTACTGGGAAACCAAGGCCTAGTGTTCGGCTTTGTGACCTTTTGCTTCACTCCCTTTCTCTGGCGCTCACGGAGGATTGTGTTTCTAGATATCTTCTGCATTCACCAGCAGGACCAGCAGCTCAAGGCAGAAGCCATCATGAGCATCTGGGATCCGTCTAAGAAGCCTAAGTCATACTTCCGAGTTGACGCTGTGAGCCATAAAACGGGCGTCTAGTCCTTATTATGGCGCGGAAGTTTGAACAATGGGCAGTATCCCAAAGCCTAAACCCTCATCCCCTGAACCTCCGGAGCCCTAAACCCTACACCCCTAAACCCCTAAACCCCTAAACCCCCGAAGCCTTAGA